TTTTAAAGCCATTTTAAGGTCCATTATTTTTTAGCCCCTTTCCAGCAATATTAGTGTTGGATTGTCTCCAGAACAAACCACTGTTATACAATAACTTGCCTAATTACACTAACTTTACCCTAATTACCCTAGTGAAGCCTTTAAATGTCACTTAAAGCTGTATAGAAGTGTCTTGAAGAATATCTAGTCTAATATTATTTACTGTCATCATGACAAAGATAAAATAAATCAGTTATTAGAAATGAGTTATTAACACTATTATGATTAGAAATGTGCTGAAGAAATCTCCTTTCCAAAAGGGGGGGCTAATAATTCAGGAGGGCTAATAGTTCTGACTTCAACTGTACTTAAAGGTCCAGTTTGTGCGATTTACACCTAGTGGTGGAACTAGGTATTGCAGTCTAAATTCAAAACAAAACCTTTAGATGATGATTTACAGCACACACAGGTTGCCAGATTGACGACACAAAAGTAGTGAGCGTGCCTGAAGATCTAGCCTTGAAGAGGACCTATATATTTACAAGATGTAAAACAGGTCTCTGGCGTCTCACTCACAGTACGTTCTGCAGTGATGAGGGTCGTATAAAGATGGCGATGGGATAAAGCTGAGCGGCCTGTAGCCTCCGCACTGCGTTCGCTGAAACATCCAGGATACAGTGCTTCCCTTGCTGAAAACACACACACACATGATTGCAGACACATATTCAAACACAAAAGCAATGTACCAACACAAACACACATGCATGCACAAAAACACCCATGCATACAGTGGGGATCGAAAGTTTGGGCACCCCAGGCAAAAATTTGTATTAATGTGCGTAAAGAAGCCAAGAAAAGATGGAAAAATCTCCAAAAGGCATCAAATTACAGATTAGACATTCCTTTAATATGTCAAAAAGTTAGATTTTATTTCCATCATTTACACTTTCAAAATAACAGAAAACAAAAAAAATGGTGTCTGCAAAAGTTTGGGCACCCTGCAGAGTTTATAGCATGCACTGCCCCCTTTGGAAAGCTGAGACCTGACAGTGTCATGGATCGTTCTCAATCATCATCTAGAAAGACCAAGTGATGTCAATCTCAAAGGTTTTAAATGCCCAAACTCATCCAACTCATCTGACTTTGCCCCAACAATCAGCATCATGGGTTCTTCTAAGCAGTTGTCTAGAAAACTGAAACTGAAAATAGTTGATGCTCACAAAAAAGGGAGAAGGCTATAAGAAGATAGCAAAGTGTATTCAGATGCCAATATCATCTGTACGGAATTTAATTAAGAAATGGCAGTCATCAGGAACAGTTGAAGTTAAAGCAAGATCTGAAAGACCAAGAAAAATATCAGACAGAACAGCTCGCAGGATTGTGAGAAAAGCAAGTCAAAACCCACGTTTGACTGCACGATCCCTCCAGAAAGATCTGGCAGACACTGAAACTGTGGTACACTATTCCACTATAAAGAGATACTTGTACAAATATGGTCTTCATGGAAGAGTTATCAGAAGAAAACCTCTTTTACGTCCTCACCACAAAAAAACAGCGTTTGAACTTTGCAAATGAACATATAGACAAGCCTGATACATTTTGGAAACAAGTTCTGTGGACCGATGAGGTTAAAATAGAACTTTTTGGCTGGAATGAGCAAAGGTACGTTTGGAGAAGAAAGGGCACAGAATTTAATGAAAAAAACCTCTGTCCAACTGTTAAGCATGAAGGTGGTTCAGTCATGCTTTGGGCTTTTATTGCAGCCAGTGGCACAGGGAAAATTTCACGAGTAGAAGGAGAAATTAATTCAATAAAATTTCAGCAAATTTTGGATGGTAACTTAATGCCATCTGTGAAAAAGCTAAAGTTAAAGAGAGGATGGCTCCTACAAATGGATAATGATCCTAAACACACCTCAAAATCCACAATGGATTACATCAAGAGATGTAAACTGAAGGTTTTGCCATGGCCTTCACAATCTCCTGACCTCAACATTATTAAAAAACTATGGATAGACCTTAAAAGAGCAGTGCGTGACAGACAGCCCAGAAATCATAAAGAACTGGAAGACTTTTGTAAGAAAGAATAGGCAAAGATACCTTAAACAAGAATTGAAAGACTCTTGACTGGCTACAAAAAGCGTTTACAAGCTGTGATACTTGCCAAAGGGGGCAGTAAAAGATATTAACTCTGCAGGGTGCCCAAACTTTTGCAGACGCCATTTTTTTTGTTTTCTGTTATTTTGAAAGTGTAAATGATGGAAATAAAATCTAACTTTTTTGACATATTAAAAGAATGTCTAATCTGTAATTTGATGCCTTCTGGAGATTTTTCCATCTTTCCTTGGCTTCTTTATGCACATTAATACAAACTTTTACCTGGGGTGCCCAAACTTTCGATCCCCACTGTAAACACACACACACATGCACATGCACATGCACAGACACGCACAAACACACAGACAGGCATACCTACAAACACACACATGTGCAAAAACACATACACACAAAGCATACACAGGCACACACATTAAAAAACATGTTAACACACACGCAGACACAGACGCACCTAAATGCACACAGAAACACACACACATAGAAGCACACCCATGTGTAAACACAAAGACATGCAAAACATTAACGCCAACACAACAAACATGCATATATACAAGGACACACACACATGCAAACACACACAAAGAAAATGCGCACACACGCACTCAAACACAAACACACACAAAGACAAATGCACAAAATTAGATGCGCACACACACATATACAGGCACACAAACACACATGGACACATACACTCCCAAACAAAAACAACGACAAACACACAAACTCAAATGCACACACACACACACACACACACACACACACACACACACACACACACACACACACACACACACACAGGCAAACAACATAAATGCGCACACACACATACAGAGGAAAACAAACACACATGCACACATACATTCCATCAAACAAAGACAAACGCACAAAATCAAATGCGCACACACACATACACACACACACACACACACACACACACACACACACACACAGGCAAACAACATAAATGCGCACACACACATATAGAGGGAAACAAACACACATGCACACATACACACACACGCATGCCATCACACAAACGAAGACAAACGCACAAAATCAAATGCGCACAAACATATACAGGGACACAAACACACGCACACACATAGACAAATGCACAAAATTAAATGCAAACACACACACATACACACACACACACATACAAACACACAAAAACAAACGCACAATCAAATGCGTACACACATATACAGGGACACAAACACACGCACACACATAGACAAATGCACAAAATCATATGTGCACACACACACATACATGCACACATACACACACACACATGCAAACACACAAACAAAGACAAATGCACAAAATCAAATGCCCACAAACATATACGGGGACACAAACACACGCACACATAGACAAATGCACAAAATTAAATGCGCGCACACACACATATCCAGGCCCACAAACAAAAACAAACACACAAAATCAAATGCGCACACACATATACAGGGACATAAACACACGCGCACACACAGACAAATGCACAAAATCAAATGCGCACACAAATATATACATGCAAACATACACACATGCACACACACAAAGACACATGCACAAAATCATATGCACACACACACACACACATATACATGCACACAAACACACACACACATGTAAACACACAAACAAAGACAAATGCACAAAATCAAATGCGCACACATACACGCATACGAGCAGATAAACACACACACAGACATCGTCTTCCTCCAGCTCCTCATCCCGTCATCTGTCCATCCATCTCTACATCTCTCACCTGCTCTGCCACCTGTCTGACGCTCTGGACGCTGGTGCCGTACAGGTGACTGTTGTACTGTCCGGCCTCGATGAAGCGATGGCTCTGAATGTCCTTCTCCATCTGCTCCCGAGACGACACAAAGTGGTAATCGCGTCCGTCCATCTCGTACTCGCGCTTCGGCCGCGTCGTGTCTGTCAAACACAGAAACAGCCTTTGTACACACATTTACAGCCACATTTTTTGACACATATGTGGAGTTTCTGCACAGGCGCCCTCTAGTGTTCACTATGAATACATAAGATGAACTCTCAGCAGTGAAAATTAAACCACACTGAACTTCAACTCTGAACTCTGGACTGACAGTTTCAGTTTACCAAAACTTCTATGTTAAGCTGCTTGATACAATCCACACTGTAAAAGCGCTAGAGAAATAAACAAATGAAATTGAACTGATCTATAGTTCTAATCAAATTAGCCTCCTATGCGCAATGTATTTTGGGCAATATTAGTGGTTAAAGTACAGACGCTTCTAAACTTTGATTTTTCACTGGAAATAGTTGACCATCCGGGTACATTTAGCATACTCTTTTCAACATACAAAAGTTTGGTACATACTAGGGTTGGGCATCTAAGCTATAATGCCGATCCGATACGCATCTCGATACAAAGAATACGATCCGATATATTAGCGATACATTTGTGACATTGCGATGCAACACGATACGATTCACACCCATATCACGATACGATGCGATAATTCAGCACTAACTTATTAGATCAAGTTTATGAGATGATGTGAAAGAGGATGCTGTGCCATTGAATGAGTTTGATTATTTATTAACCAAGCAAAACCAAGACTTTTTTTACAAACTGGCTTTTCTCTCAGAGCCAGAGTGTCAGTTTACAGTAGAGGGCCATTTTAGAACATATAGCACATATTATTTAAGGATTTTCAAGATAAACAGAATGTATAAGTGCAATATATATTAAAATATATATATATTTGCACTCTTTCAACATAAAGGTTGCACAACAAGAATTGTGATTTAACTTTTCAACTATGAAAACAAGTTTTACAAAGATATATTTTGCCACTGAATATTCAAAACTTAAGGTGGTGAACTAGCAGTGTTATGCTGCTTTCAAACATCACTGTCACTGTAAACAACAGGCTAATAAAAATATAAATAAATAAAAATTAACAGGAGGAGGTGTTTAAAACCTTCGTTCTCCGTGACACTAGGCTGAATATCTGTGCAGATGAACAATGCAATAGCATTCGTTATTGGCGTAGAGCGAGCAGAACTGTTGCGCATGAAGAAAACTTGCAATGCTTTTCTCACCACTTTTGGAGCTGGTACTGTAGCTACAGTTGAAGCAGAGCAGGAAGCCGGGGATGCAGGAACACTGGAAGATGCTTCCACAACAACACCGTGACGCCGCTTCAAGTGAGATTTCAGATTAGTCGTACTGCCCGCGTATTTTACAGATGCGCGGCACATTTTGCAAATTGCATCTGTCCTGTCAAGTCGTCCATCCTTAAATCCATAATGTTGCCATACTTTAGATTTAAAACTCAGTGAGGAATAAAATGTTTGTTTTGCTTCTCGCGCTTTCTGAGGGCGCTCCACTAGCTTCATCCGCACACCTGATACACTGAGTTGTAGTGTAAGTGTACACATCCGCAAGTCCGTTGCTAATGCATACTTTATGTAGGTCGATTAAATTATGCGCCAAAAACAGGTTGACAACACTTGTTAATAAATAAAAAATACATTCTATATTAAAAATATAAGTTGTATCTTGGAAAAACCGATGCATCTCGCAAAAACCGATGCATCTCGATTTGCTTCTAAAATTTCTTTCATCCTCTGCTGCTCAACCGATGCACTCGCATGGTGCACGCGCATAACCGCGTATCGATACATATCGGTTAATCTTCCCATCCCTAGTACATACTATTTCTATTTTCCAATACTATTTATGATGGATAACATGTGAATTGGGAAGCAGCTCATGTATGTGTGTTATAAAAATGAACTGATCTGAGACATGTATGAAGTGTTTGTGTTAGTTTTAGTGTATTGTTAATGTGAAATGAGCTGCTGTGCCGAGCTGAAAGCTCGTTTAGAGAACTGTGTGAAGAATTTGGCTCCTAAAATATGATTATTATGTTTTAGCATCACAGTGAGACATTATTCAGGGGTCAGAGGTCAGCCTTACGGGGCACACAGGAGCCAAACTTGTCCGGGAACTCGGAGAGGAGGTCATCGTTCACACGGTCCTTGCTGGGTCCGAGGATTATGACGGGACGCGCGTAGTGCACTGCAGGACAGCAAATGACATCATAATGAGCAAAACATTGTCGACACTGTGCAGTTTATCAGACCGGTTTTATACACACTATGGTAAAAGCACCAAAACAGAAGCTCTATTGTTTACAGGGGACCTATTATGCCTCTTTTTACTAGATGTGAAATGCGTCTTTGATGTCTCTAGAGTGTGTGTGTGTGTGTGTGTGTAGTTTCAGCTCAAAAAAGCAAACAGATAATGTTCCCTCTGAAACTGACCCTTTCAGGCTTTGATCCTAATTGTGGTGTTTTGGTGACTGTCGCTTTAAATGCAAATGAGATTGGGCTCTTTTCAGAAGAGGGCGGAGCTACAAATGACTGTATGTAAGCATATTGGCAGATTCAAAACAATACTGACATTCTATGCTAATGAGGAAGAGATGGGCACTGGTGGGCGTGGCTTTCCCCCTCTGATGACACGTACAAAGGGGGAATGTCAATCAAGTCTGATTGTAAACAACACAATTAATACATGTTTACCATTAGAGGCTGGAGATATTCACACACTGCTGACACACAATTTTTGCATGGTAGCTCCACTTTAAAGCTCTTTCACACAGTGTAATTAGGATGTATAAATCTCAAAAAGGACACAATGATTAAAATCCACTGCAGACAACAGTCATTAGGAGTTATAACTACTCAGTGATGGTGTGGATTAGGAGCAAAAACAGTAATAACCTCAGTGTTTACTTCATCTTAATTGTCTGTTGCATGTTGTGAGTTACATATATATAAATATATGACTAAAAATAAATGGACAAACTTCATTTGCTGAATTGTGGGTACATTTCTAGCATTTTCCATTCATTTTGCTTGAGATAGAATGATGTAAATGTATAATTTACAGTAAACTGAATCCATTAATGGTATAGTAATATGAAATAATAAAATAAGGAGCATTTAATTCTGTCACGAATTGATTTTTATCTTCAAGAGTTGGATATTACTTGACGCTCTTAGCAGGTTTGGCATGCTGTCCAGGGAGAAAACCTTGAGCTCGGAGATAACTGAGCCCAAGGCTCCCGTCTGGTCAATAAGCATATAAGAGGGTCCGAGATCAGGAAGGTCTCAAGATCTCTTCTGGTAAAAGGAGAAAAAGGAGGAGATGGGGTGGAAGGGGGGAGTCCTCCAAAATGAAGATAAGAAAATAGGGCAAAATCAGTCTATTTACAGTAGGCTTGGATCATTCTGATTGGATTATTGCTGATTATGAATCAGTGGCGGTTCTAGTTTAAATGGCACCCTGGGCGAACCACCCCATATACACCTGGAAAACAATGTAGACACTACTGGAGTGATATGCCAAGATCACTTAAGATATCTTTTGCATGAATATTATGACAATCTATGACGAAATCTATAGAATTAAAAAAAAAAACATATATTTTATAGAATTATCTGTTGTCTTAGACCTGACTTATAGAAAATTGATGTTAAGTCTTACCTCCCTGACTGATCACCTCTCCTTTCTGCTTTATAGCCATGCTTAGTCAATCATCATCATCATATATATCTATACAGTTGAAGTCAGAATTATTAGCCCCCTGTTTATTTTTTTCCGAATTTCCATTTAATGGAGAGCAGATTTTCTCAACACATTTCTAATCATAATAGTTTTAATAACTCATCTCCAATTACTGATTTATTTTATCTTTGTCATGATAACAATAAATAATATTTGACTAAATATTCTTCAAGACACTCTTATACAGCTTAATGTGAAATTTAAAGGCTTCACTAGGGTAATTAGGGTAACTAGGCAGGTTAGGGTAATTGGGCAAGTTATTCTATAGTGGTTTGTTCTGTAGACTATTGAAAAAAAATTTTTGCTTAAGAGGGCTAATAATATTGACCTTAAAATGGCGTTTAAAAAATGTAAACCTGCTTTTATTCTATCCGAAATAAAACAAATAAGAGTTTCTTCAGAAGAAAAAATATTATCAGACATACAGTGAAAATTTCCTTGCTCTGTTCAACATCATTTGGGAAATATTAAAAAAATAAAAAATTCAAAGAGGGGCTAAAAATTCTGACTTCATATATATATATATATATCATAATATATGTAACTTGTTTAACAAACTATTTAATATATAAAACTTTAGTTTTGTTGACTTTCAACACTCGCTGCGTGCTGACATCTCTGCATAAAAGACTGTTACTCTGGTTTTACATTGCATGAGTGTACACAACCAGGATTCATAGCAGGAGCAGCGCGTGACGTGCGCAAGAATGGTTCTCAGTTTAGTTTCACCAGTGTTGTTTCAGTTGCACATAGCAAACTTGCAAGTGCAAAATACGGCAAATGTGAATGGCCCCTAACGTGTTTATTCTGGAATTACTGTAACTTAATATTTGCATAAAGTAAATCTTATCTCTAAGCTTTTGCTGGGGCACATTTTTTTTTGCACCGTCTTGTGCCTTACCGATGCCATCATGGGGTGCGTTTCCCAAACAATGACGTAACTCGCGGCTAAACTATCATAGTATGATGCATCAATTGGGAAAAGAAGGATGTAGTGTTGAGTGCTTCCCAAAACCCGTAGTTTCTTAGTCGCAGATCCATCGCAGATCCACCCAAACTGGGTGGAGGAACTACTTCTTTAGAGAAAAACCATAATTTCTTTGTGCAAATGATATTGTTTTACACGCACACGCATTTTAAATAAAGTCCTATTTTAGATCTGGTAAAAACATGCACTCGCTTTCCATATTAACTGAAATATATGTAAATGGCACATATAGGCCCTGTGTTTACTAATATTATTAAGAAGTTGAACATTACATTCTAAAACAAAATAAATCACTTACAAAAGCTAACACCTGATCCTAATATCCACCTAGTATCATACATAAATCATTTAAATAAATAAATAATGATGCAATTTATTATAAAATAAAATGTAATATTTATTATTTATAAGAAATTTAAAAATCATACTTTAATAATAATATTAATGATGATAATAAGTATTATTATTATTATTATTACTATTATTATTATTATTATTATTATTAAGCAGGATATTGTTTATTTATTTATTTATTTTTTTTATTTTTTTTTCAGAAGGTTCTAACCAGCAGGCCCATGTCATATACAGTACAGATCCGTAAAAAATAACCCACTATAAATTAAAACAATTAACGTATGCTTTTGGTTTTCACAAGCTTTGGAGACGTAACATAAATTCCGCTTTTAAATAATAGGTCACCTATAGCTATCACCATGAGGCTGTGTTCAAAATGTAAACATGAAGATCGCTAAAACGGAACTGTAAAAATACCTTGAAAGCAAATTACACCTAAGAGAGATGAGCTTAATGCTTTTTATTTTTAATCATTCCAACTTTGAATGTTAAAATGTTCTAAATTAATAGGGCATAGGGGGGATAAGTGGGAATAGAACAGCCAGAAATTATGTTTCTAACTACAGCTCCAGAGGTGTAGTTGCGAGTGCTCAAGTTTGCGACGCAGTTTGTGAATGTTAGTTGGAGCGTTGGCTTTGGGAAACGGCAAATCAACAAACTATGTTTGTAATGACGGAACTTGCGACCTTAGTTGGCTAACGATGGTTTTGGGAAACGCACCCCTGGGCGATTGCCCATATTGCCCATGCCCAAATCTGCCACTGTTACGAATGACAGCCCAGCTGCGATCAATTAAATCACATGCTCCTCTCAAAGAGTTGACATTTTCCGTCATTTTGTGCTTTAGCTAAAATGCTAGCCTCAAAGCAGACTTCACATGGCATGCCTGAAACTCAGTTTATTGTAGTTTCATCCTAATATTGTATTCACAGTGACAGATCCTCTATTGGTGAATCCTGAACATTTAGCACAAATCAATGAGAGAAAAATGACATCTCAATCCCACCTAGTGGAGTTTCCCACCATCACCTGCAGCAAGTCACATGCTTTTATAATGACATGCACTGTTTATACACACACACTCACCTTCACTCTGCGTCACGGTCTCATAGCTCACGATGTAATCGCTGCGTCCTGAAACACACATAATCAACACATGGGATTTTATTGTTGTGGAAGTCATATATTCTGTCCTCACTCTGTTTATTCCATTTATCCCAGCCTCACAGAAAACATGAATAAAATAACTGACCAATTGGTTTTATTAAATATTGATTGCACCTCATTGTAAAAAGAAATATCTTAAAACACAACAACTATACTCTGCCACTCACCGCTGACGGGCTCTCGGCCTCGAGTCTTCAGACGAGACCATTCCTTCCGCTCCACCCTACACACACACACGCACACACACACACACACACACACACACACACACACACACACACACACACACACACACGCACGCACACACACACACACACACACACGCACACACACGCACACACACACGCACACACACACACACACGCACACACACACACACACACACTTTTTAAACATCTGGCCAATTTGTTAAAATATGGAGAGTTCAGATGCAAAAACCAAAACGGTGGACCAATTGGAGCGGTTTTCAGACCGAAGGCAACTTGACGTAGGAGTGCGGTCCCCCCGCCCACCCAATTGATTGACAGCTGTGTATTAACATGTCCCGGTAGTCATATGTATAATCATATCAACAAGAGAAGACGAGCGCAAAGCAACTGGGAATAAAAGCTCTGTTCAGGTCGCTAGGATCATCAATCATCATCAAATGTGTTCAAGAGTGAGTTTCACGTTTAAAATGTTTTAAAGCAGAGCACGTGTGTAATGAAGTACAGCGATTTACTTCAGCTTTACTTCATCAGCACAGCCGCGTGTCAGAACAATTATAAAGGAAGACGCTTCAATCCCGCTTTGTGGACGTTAAATCAGGTTTATTCTCTACATTAACATAACAGATCTCCATACAGCAGTGGAGATTAACCTGCATCCTGTCACATTTGCATGCAAAAACAGTGCAAAGCTAAACGTGCTCCGTCTGTGTGTATGTGCGTGTCGTGTCCGCAATATGTATGTGTGTGTGTATCTGTGTGTGTGCGCGTGAACTTTGTAATGACATTGCGAGTGGCTCATCGATGTAACTTAACACAGCAAATGCATCAGATACTCATTGGTAAAGTTCTTACTGTAGTATTTCTCACAAACGCCACGTGAGATCTGCTTCCTTTATGTCTGTCTGATGTCTAAAGCCCCTTACACACAGTGATACCGGTAAATTTCTGGAAAATTTCCGGAACGACTTTACCGGTATATTGAAAAAAGCGCTGTTCACACAGGCGAGGACGTTACGGAAATTTTCCGGAAAAGAGCATCACACATCCATCCCAAAATACCGGTAAATTCTGACATCATTCACCACAAATGAGCTGTAAACGGCTGCGCTTGTGTTTGTAAACATTTGACTAAATTAAAAACTCAGTGGATGATCAATATTGTGAACAACTTTCGCTGGATCACTTTCGCATGTCGAGATGTTCATAATATGTGCGTGTGCGGCGCTCATAGGCTGTTTCACAGGCACACGCAAAGCTTGAAGGTAAACAAACAACGGCTTATCATAAGCATCTCATCGATGATTATTTACACAGTTGGCATTAAGAAGAACATATAAACGTGATCTGACTAACTTCTAGCAGCTAAATGTGTCTGGAAAAATATTCAAAGGCTTTTATCCTCACAAATCGTGCGGACGTAAATGCGTCTGACTGTTGTGATTGGCTAAAGCAGACGTCTCATGTCAGCACGTTCTAGACGTGCACGCGCTTATTACGGGAATCTTCCTTCTGCATTCACACAGCGCAGCATTCCGGCAAATTACCGGTAATGTTACAACTTCTCTTTCCGGAAAATAGCCAGAACGAATTTACCGGTATTTTCAAAAAGGACCTGTTCACACATACAACCTTTCCGGAAAATTGCCGGTAATTTTCCGGAAAGGTCTGTATGTGTGAAAGGGGCTTAAGGCATGCAGGAAAGGCACGTAGAAACAGTGGGCGGGGAGGACTCGCCTTAGAGGCGCAGTACAGCAAACACGCCACCCAGTGCAAAAATGTATAAAATAAAATCTTATAAAGGGGTGTAATAAAAAATCTGATGAGTGTTTTGAGCAGAAATTTTACAGACACATACTGGAGACACAAAAGATTCATAATAAATCTAAAATAAAAAGGGGTAACCTAGGTGTCCTTTAAAGCAGTGTTTCTCAACTGGTGGGTTGCGGGAACATTTTCAGTGGGTCGTGGAGTGTGTGATCAAAAAAACAAAAGTTTAATATTTAACTTATTTTGCTTATATCAGACTTTTATTTTTAAATGCACGTGCCAAATGGGAATGCTAATGGGACTTTTAATTTGCCAGTAACCTGGGTTAAGCGCTTTTGGCAAACTGCAATGCGAAACCGGTGCGTTTAACGTCTGTTTTCTTTAAAAATCAGCGATCTCCACTGGCTGAGTGATATCTGATATAAAGTGGGTCTCAGATTGTACAAGAATTACTGCATTACATTACATTTCCCCCCGCCATGTCTTTATAATATGAGCATTTATTTTACCCCAGTATATTTAATGGAGCTTCTGCGCTAGCCCACAGATTCTGACTGGCGCGTGCGAGTAAACGGCTTTTTGTCTCGTTTTACGCTTGAGCAACTAAATGAATGTATTTTAATGATATTACAACATCGATGCTGTAAAAGGAACCGTATAAAATGGGAAAAAAAGTTCACAATAACAGGTCACCGGAAGTTTATCAGTATGGGAACCACACTAACGTTAGCTCCGCATATACCCTTTTGACATGTGAAATTCCAGCGCAAGTACGACCCCGAATATGTAAAGTGTGGATTTACATATTTTGATGACAAAAAGGTTTAAAAGCTCAGTGTGTCATATGTAGTGAGGTGCTTTCACGAGAGAAATGAAACCTAAATTAAAACGACATTTAGAAACCAAACATCCCAGTTGCAAGGAAAAACCTGTGGACTATTTTCTAAGACGACTCTAATAGCTGAGGGCATCACAAAAGTGCCGAACATATTCATGTTCAAAACAAGTACAAGTACATCTTACTGTGCTCACCGTGTAGCAAAGGTCAGGAAAGCCCACACAACAGCAGAACAGCAAATAACTGCTGATTATTATAAAATGGTTATGATTATTTTAATAATTTTACTTCAGTTTGCAGGTTTCTGTTCAGTTCAACCAGATCAGTGTTAATGTTTTATAAACAGTTCAGTTTAGTTAACGGTAACTTAACTTTTCCTAACACTAACCACTGTTTACAGTATTTGACATTTTTACTCTGTAATATTTCTATAATTTGATACATTTTGTTAAATGACAGCAGTAAAATATTGTTTATTTGTAAGTCTTGGTGATTTTCTCATAATTTATCTGTCACTAGTTGTGTATGTTAACAATTAAATACAAATGAATTATAATTCCTAAAATCTTATTATAATTCCTAAAAATTTGGGTCGCGGCTTAACGACCATGTGAAAATGTGGGTCCCATGGCCAAACCAGTTGAGAACCCCTGCTTTAAAGTATTTCATTTTAAAGGCAATGAAAAGAACTTATTCAAGACTATAAAAGTAAAATTTCTAAGCCTACACACAATAGTCAGAGAAAAATACTAATTTAGGAGGAAAATATCAAGTGGCATTCAGAGGTTTTTGCATCTAAACTCTTCACATGTTTTTTTGTTAAATGGAGTATGATTATATTGCACGTTTATTTCAGAGTACAGAACCTGCAGAGCTCATTAATATTCATGACCATTCCAAATATGGTCAATATAGAGCTTCTGATTGTAGCCATAAAGAGGAAGCCAGAATTATTCACCCTCCTTATTTTTTCCTTAATTTCTGTTTTGGGGAGAGCAGAGTTCTTCAACACATTTCTACAACCCAGGCTCATTCTGAAAACGTAGTCCCATGGAGGTTTCTGGAGACTGCGAAATACGTCCCGGGAGGTACGTATGGCTGCATTTCATTTTTTTAAGTGAACGCTACGGGGTCGTATCATACTGTTCCCTATAACGCTTACCAGGTGACTGCTTACCTCCGTGTGGAGGGCTTTCCCGCTGCAAAAAGTTTGTCCAGTCAGTTTAAAAAAAAGGGGTAACCTAGGTGACCTTTAAAGTATTTCATTTTAAAGGCAATGAAAAGAACTTATTCAAGAATATAAAAGTAAAATTTCTAAGCCTACACATAATAGTTGGAGAAAAACTATTATTAGTATTAGTAACTATACTAATTTTGGAGGAAAATATCAAGTGGCATTCAGAGGTTTCTGCATCTAAACTCTTCACATGTTTTTGTCAAATGGAGTATTATAAAATTGCACGTTTATTTCAGAGTACAGAACCTGCAGAGCTCATTAATATTCATGACCATTCCAAATATGGTCAATATAGAGCTTCTGATTGTAGCCATACAGAGGAAGCCAGAATTATTCACCCTCCTTATTTTTTCCTTAATTTCTGTTTAGCGGAGAGCAGATTTCTTCAACACATTTCTACAACCCAGGCTCATTCTGAAAACGTAGTCCCGTGGACATTTCTGGAGACTGCAAAATACATCCCGGGAGGCACGTATGGCTGCATTTCATTTTTTTAAGTGAACGCTACGGGGTGGTGTTACGCTATTCCCTTTCACGCTTACCAGGTGACCGCTTATCTCCGTGTGGAGGGCTTTCCCGCTGCAAACAGTTTGTCCAGTCAGTTTATTGTGTACATAGGCAGACTTGAGATCCATAGAGGAGTTGACCACGATGACCGGGTTCGAGTCCGGGGAAGAGCGGTTCCAGAAATTAAGTAAGACAAAAACAGAATCCAAAAAATAAAGTGAACGAGTTTCGAAAACGAGTTCCGAAAACGTGGTAAAAAAATCAGACGACAGCTTTACTTTTTCTGGACGGCTTTTGTAAATTGTTGGTTGGGTTTAGGTAAGTAAGCGGGTGGGCGGGTCAAACGGTAAAATTAGTTGGGTTCAGGGAAGGAGGAGGGTGGGTCAGCTGATTGGCCAGTCGCACAGTCAATCATTCAGCCAGTCAGACAGTGGCCTCTCATAGGTGAACAGCACGGGTGCGAACGGCACTCACGAGAGACATTTGAGATACGAAAAACTGCACACAGCAGCTTCTCGCGGGTTCTGGAAAACAAAACGTCCATGAACGTCAGAAACGTCCATGGGATTACGTTTTCAGAATGAGCCTGGGTTGCATTTCTAATCATATGCATTTCTAATCATAATAGTGTTAATAACTCATCTCTAATAACTGATTAATTTTCTCTTTGTCATGATGACAGTAAATAATATTAGACTAGATAATCTTCAAGACACTTCTATACAGCTTAAAGTGACATTTAAAGGCTTTACTAGGGTAACTAGGGTAAAGTTATGGTAATTAGGCAAGTCATTGTATAACAGTGGTTTGTTCTGGAGACAATCCAAAACTAATATTGCTGAAGGGGGCTAATAATATTAACCTAAAATGCGTTTAAAACAATTAAAAACTGCTTTTATTCTAGCCGAAATAAAGCAAATAAGACTTTCTCTAGAAGAACAAATATTAGAGGAAATACTGTGAACATTTCCTGAATCTGTTCAACATCATTTGGGAAATATTTAATTCATAGGAAGGCGAACAATTCTGTAACTGTATATTCTGGAGTAATGTGAGCATGTAAAACTTTTCTATAGATTTTTTTACATAGCTAAAGCACATATCTACTATGTAGATATCCAACACACACATGTATGTACCTCCTCTTGCTGGGAATGTACCCGGTCTCCTCCAGTTCTCCGTGTGGAGCCAGTTTTCCGGCCTGCCACCATTCCTCATCACTGCAGTCAAAGACCTGCAGAACATCCCCGAACCTGAAGCTCACGGCCTGCGACAGAAAACCACCGTCTGCCGTCTTATCATAGTCAAACAGAGCCCTGCAGACACACACACACAGACACAGAGAGATGTCAGTGAGTCTTCAAAATGTGTGTGTGTGTGTGTGTGTGAAAATATACCTGATGAAGAAGCTTCTCTTTCCGCTCCGTAATGAAGCCGCTGCAGACACTAAACTGCTGTTCATCAGCTGCTCCCGCAGGTCATGGATCTTGGCCTCGAACCTGCTGTATTCTGAACACACACACACATGCACACACACACACACGGTGTCAGTAGCTATATTTTACGCATTATTGCAGTTTAGTGCATGAATCTCATTTGCATCTTTAGAATCTTTAGATGGAAACACAGCTGTTGTCTCAGATCGATGTGTGTGTGTGTGTGTGTGTGTGTGTGTGTCACCTTCAGGTCTGTACTGTGTGATGATGGTGACCGTCTGTCCTGCGTTCTTCAGTGCCGCCGCGGCCTGTTCATGAGTGGCGTGACGCAGATCTACACCGTTCACCTGCAATCAAACAACATTACAGCACTGCTGGAGGAACAGTGTGTGTGTGCACATGTTTGAGTGTGTTTTCGCGTATGTTTGAGTGTGTGTTCATGTGTGTGCATGCATGTATGTTGTGTGTGTGTGTGTACGCATGTATATGTGTGTTTTTGTGTGCATGCATGTATAAGTGTGTTTGCGCATATGTCCGTGTATGTGTGTGCCCTTTGTGTGTGTGTGTTCATGAGTGTGTGCGTGTTTGTGTGCATGTTTGTGTGTATATGTGTGTGTTTGTGTGTATATGCATACATGTATGTGTGTGTGTGTGGTTGTGCATGAATGTCTATGTTTGTGTGTGTGTGTGCGCGCATGTGTGTGTGTATGTGTGTGCATGTTTGAGTGAGTATATATGTGTGTTTGTGTGCATGCATGTATATGTGTGCGCATGTGTCCGTGTGCATGTATTAGTGAGTGTTCTTATGTGTGTACATGCATGCATGCATATGTGTGTGTGTGTGTGTGTGTGCACGTATGTGTGTGTGCATGTGTCCGTGTATGTTTGTGTGTTTGAGTGTGTATGTGTGTGTTCATGTGTATTTGTTTGCATGCATGAGTGTGTGTGTGTTTGTATGTGTATGAATGCATGTATATGTTTGTGTTTGTACTGTATGTATGTGTGTGTGTGTGTGCATGTGTCTGGGTAGGTGTGTGCGTGTGCATGTTTAAGTGTGTATATGTGTGGGTGTGTATATGTGTGTATATGTGTGCGCGTGCATGCATGTATATGTGTGCGCATGTGTCCGTGTGCATGTATGAGTGTGTGTTCGTATGTGTGTACATGCATGCATACATGTGTGTGTGTGTGTGTGTGTGTGTGTGTGCGTATGTGCGCATGTATGTGTGTGTGCATGTGTCCGTGTATGTGTGTGCATGTTTGAGTGTGTGTATGTGTGTGTTCATGTGTGTTTGCTTCCATGCATTTGTGTGTGCGTGTGTGTGTTTGTTTGTGTGTGTTTGTATGTGTATGTATATTTGAGTGTGTATATGTGTGTGTTTGTATGTGTGTGTGTGTGCAGGTGTCTGGGTAGGTGTGTGCATGTGCATGTTTGAGTGTGTATATGTGTGTGTTTGTATGTGTGTGTGTGTGCAGGTGTCTGGGTAGGTGTGTGCATGTGCATGTTTGAGTGTGTATATGTGTGTGTTTGTATGTGTATGCATGCATGTATATGTGTGGGTGTATGTGTGTTTGTGTGTGTGTGCATGCATGTATATGTGTGCGTGCGTTTGTGTGTGTATGTGCATGCATGTATATGTGTGTGCATGCGTCTGGGTGCATATGTATCTGCAGTCATGTATATGTGTGTGTGTGTGTGTGTGTGTTCATGTATGTGTGTGTTCATGTGTGTTTGTCGTACACTCAGTATCTGGTCTCCTTTCCTCAGCTCTCCGCTCAGATCAGCAGCTCCTCCAGCCAGTATGAAGGAGATGAAGATTCCCTCTCCATCTTCTCCACCCACGATATTAAAGCCCAGACCTGTAGAGCCTCTGTGGATCACCACACGCCGCGGCTCCCTGAAACACACACACACAATTTTAACGTATACAAGTTTGAAGAGGATTAGGAAGAAGCATATGCTTAATATTAATAAATAAGTAGATATTAAAGATTGAGGACAAACTTTATGGTGGCTTGAGAAAGCCTGTTGGAAGTAGCTTATTTAGTTTGAAAAGGTTTCAAGTTGATAAAGAATGTTTAAGATCCCTGCAGTCAACAATGCAAGCACTCTAAAGACTGAAGCAAGTCAGTAAACAGCTTTAAAGATGATCCACGGGTCTGTGATCAGTAATAGCATGATTTAAGCATGAATTAGCATGATTCTAACAAATTAGCATGTTATTAGCATGAATTAGCATGTTGTTACCATTTTTCTAGCATAAATTAACATGTTGCTAGCAAGTTTCTAGCATGAATTACCATGTTGTTCGCAACATTCCTACATGATTTAGCATAATTCTAGCATGTTATTCATTACATAAAGTAGCATGTTAGCATGATTCTAGTTTGAATTAGCATGAAACTAGCATTATTCTACCACAAATTAACATGTTTCTAGCACAAATTAATGCTTCTAACATTGATTAGCATGTTGTAGAATGAATCCAACATGAATTTGCATGTTTTTAACATGGGTCTAACATGAATTAG